TCATTTTTATTTTGGTGAGGGAACACCAAGCCAGATTTTCAGTGTAGGTTGACTGTATCAGCTCTGACTTTGATGGAGTTACATCACTGTGTGCAATGCATTTGAGCTTAGTGCCATGCTTTAAATGTCAGGCCTTGCTTTTGAGGAGAGAGGCTCGTTTGTGTGCTACAGGCACCGCTATTGTAAGGCTGGTGACAGAGAGAGAACAAAAATTTTCCCCCAAAACTTTGCCAAACCTTTTTACAGGTTCTGTTTGAAATAAAGTCAGCCACTTTTCCAACACAATTCCAACACTTTTTCACCTTTCCAAATCCACATGTTTGTTTAGAGGGCTAAGCTGTATTTTGCAGTTCAGCATGATGTTCAGATCTGGTTCCTAATAGTTTCCTCCCCTACAAGGCAAATTACAACAGCCATACATAGTTATTTTAATGCTCTCTAGTGTTGACTTGGATTATAGCATATTATTTGTTCAGCTTCTCCAGCTATTTTAGCTATCACTAAACCATTTCTATAGTACTTGCAAAATGCAAAATGCCATTAGAAAGCACTTATGTGGGTCATTAACTTTAAATGTGTGAGAAGTCTCATTCATTTTTTAATTTGCTCAGCATCTTGCAAGATCAAACTGTGATCAGATAAAAAAAGACTGAAAGGATCAATAAAAAAGGCCTTACCCAGGAATTTGCTTAAATATTGCACCTGGCACACCAGGCCCTTCTCTTTCCTCCCCCAGCTCTTGGAGAGCTCCAAGGCAAAGCCATAGCTGGTGATCTACTAGCCGGCTAGTTTTGCTTTCTGTTTCTGGATCCCATCTCAAGAAAGGAGAGATCCAGTGATCAAGTTTGCCTGATGCTAAACATCATGAACACGCTTTGCAGCCACGCTCACAGTTCTGACTAGGATTCCACTGAATAGGGAAACAGAGCTAACAGCCAGCAGACCATACTTTGTCTGCAGTCAAGCTGCAGGGAGCAGGTTGTAAGGCAGGTGCACGCTTGGCATTAACTGATAGAATGCTTCCAATGTGAACACACCAACCCCTGCAAAATCCTTGCCATGCTAAATTAAGTAAACCTTCCCCTGTGAAATAAGTTACACCAATGACAGCCACTGTATGAGGTGTTTTGCCAACAGAAACCACGCTGTTTAAAAATCTTGCCCTTGCCAATATTGCCACAACATGAAGTTGGCATATCTGGAACATGAGCAAGCTTTCTTGTACATGCTTGGTGCCTGACACCTCTTCATCTCCAAATGTTATTTGGCACAAGTTTGTTAGCTAGCTTAATATAGAAAATGATGCAGCTTAACCTCGACATTATGGGGGGTGGAGAGGGGGAGAGAACAAAGAGGAGAAAATATGGGTGAAACAGCATGTAACATCGCTGGGTTTCATTTCTTTTGGTCAGATTTGTCACTACTTCCCCCTGAAAGAAGTCATCATTCATTTTCTTTCTCAGCTAGCAGTGCAAGGGTGCATCAAGCATGAAGACATGGTTAGCTTTAAGCATGTCAGTCTAAATTGCAGCACTTCTCTGTTTCAGTTTCCTCAAAAGGCTACCACATCGTGCTTTGCTGCCTGGCCAGGCACAGCAGTTATAACCTGTTTTGCAAATGCTGTTTGTACCTGAGGTTGGTTCCATAAACTGCTACTGCTTGGCAGGTCCTACCCTTCTTGCTATCAAATACAGCAGCAAAAGCAGACACTGGGAACTGTAGCACATTCCAACTAACCAGTTGCACAGAAATGCCAAATTCAGCAAGAGCTGAGCTGCCTTTGCCTTGCTAAGAGACACCTCCAGTCATGTAGCAGTTTGCTTATTTTTGCAGGCTGAAGCCTTAACAAAATAGAAACACAAAGCAGAGGTGTGACACCAGCTGTGGGAGCTTAAGAGAAGGAATAACTGTTAATGCTTCATTTGCTATGAAAAGGTGGTATTTCAAGTTTGTTTTAGAAAGCATGCTGTGTGGCAATTGATGTGTTAATCACCTCTCTATATGTAGCAGAAACATGCAAAGCGTTGCAATCAACAGCTCAATGTCTGGGTGGAGACAAGTGGTATTACTCAGGGGTCAGTATTGGCACCGCCACTCCTCAACATCTTTGTTGGGGACATGGACAGTGGGATCGAGCGCACCCTCAGCAAGTTTGCCGATGACACCAAGCTGTGTGGTGTGGTTGACATGCTGGAGGGAAGGGATGCCATCCAGAGGGACCTTGACAGGCTGGAGAGGTGGGCCTGTGTGAACCACATGAAGTTCAACAAGGCCAAGTGCAAGGTCCTGCACGTGGGTCGGGGCAATCCCAAGCACAGCTATAGGCTGGGGGGAGAATGGATTGAAAGCAGCCCTGAGGAGAAGGACTTGGGAGTGTTGGTGGGTGAGAAGCTCAACATAAGCTGGCAATGTGCACTCAAGAAAGCCACTTCTTGTGCAGCCAAGAAAGCCAACTGTGTCCTGGGCTCCATCAAAAGCAGCATGACCAGCAAGTCAAGGGAGGGGATTCTCCCTCTGTACTCCACTCTTGTGCGACCCCACCTGGAGTACTGCGTCCAGCTCTGGGGGCCCCAGTACAGGAGAGACATGGAGCAGTTGGGGCGAGTCCAGAGGAGGCCACGAAGCTGATCAGAGGGCTGGAGCACCTCTCCTATGAGGACAGGCTGAGAGAGTTGGGATTGTTTGGCCTGGAGAAGAGAAGGCTCCATGGAGACCTTATGGCAGGCCTCCAGGACCCGGAGGGGGGCCACCGGGAAAAGGATGGTGAGGGACTGTTTATCAGTGACAGGACGAAGGGTAATGGGTTTAAACTAAAAGAGGGTAGATTTAGATTAGATGTTAGGAAGAAATTCTTCCCTGTGAGGGTGGTGAGGCACTGGAACAGGTTGCCCAGGGAAGCTGTGGATGCCCCCCTCCGTGGAAGTGTTCAAGGGAAGGTTGGATGGGGCTTTGGGCAACCTGGTCTAGTGGAGGATGTCCCTGCACATGGCAGAGGCGTTGGAACTAGATGGTCTTTAAGATCCCTTCCAACCCTAAACATTCTATGATTCTATGATGATTCTATGATTTGCAAACTCGCAAGAAGCTTGCTAGAAGCACCTGCAGAGCATCAATATGAGTAGGATGCCTACGCGTGTATCATTAAATGGTTAAGTCTGTTAAGGAAGAGACGCAAACCAACAAGAGATCATGGTTAGAAAGGCATTTCTTAACATCACACTGTATGCAGAAATACTAGGTTTCTTATCACTTTTGCTGGACTGAAGACAGCTTTTATCCATTGCTGTACTGGTAGATTCCTATGGTAAATCCTATATGAACCAAATTCCTACTTAATTTGATTTCTATTTTTGTGTACAGTCCTATTACCTACACACTCATTTCTAAAACTGAATTCCTGTTATTTGGCTTTAGCATCCCTTGCAGTAAAAGAATGCTACATAGAGTGAAGTTAGCGATTGGGCTCTACACCACAGCAATTTCAGTAGATGTGGACACAATGTGAAATATAAAAAACATCCAGACTTGGCAGGGATAAAGGATATTTCCAAGTCGTAAACACGTACATGATAATTAACCATGTGCACAAGAGCACACATTTGCCAACTTGTGCTGGTTTTGGCTGGGAGAGTTAATTTCCTTTGTAGTAGTTGGTATGAGGCTGTGTTTTGGATTTGTGCTGAAAACAGTGTTGGTAACACAGAGAAGTTTTAGTTGCTGCTGAGCAGTGCTTACGCAGAGTCAAGGCCTTTTCTGCTTCTCACCCCACCAGCAAGTAGGCTGTGGGCGCACAAGAAGCTGGGAGGGGACACAGCCGGGACAGCGGACCTCAACTGACCAAAGGGATTTTCCATATGATGTCATGCCTCGCATGTAAAGCTGGGGGAAGAAAAAGGAATGGGGGGGGACACGTTTGGGTGTTTGTGTTCCCAAGTAACTATTATGCATGACGGAGCCCTGCTTTCCTGGGGATGGCTGAACACCTGCCTGCCCATGGGGAGGGGGAATGAATTCGTTGTCTTGCTTTGCTTGTGTGCTCGGCTTTTGCTTTACTTATTTAACTGTCTTTATCTCAACCCATGAGTTTTCTCCCCTTCACTCTTCTGATTTTCTCCTCCATCCCACCGGGGGGGGGGGAGTGAGCAGCGGCATGGGGCTTAGCTGCCAGCTGGGTTAAACCACAATAAAACTGCGTAACAAGATGATGGATATGGCTTTTTCAGTATATTTTCTAGAGAGCCATTCAACGTTGATTTATTGTGAAATAAAATTTCACATTTTTCTGTGAAACTAACTGTGAACAATACCACATTCCTAACCAAGATGCCTAGCACACACTGATGGTAGGAACACCAAAAGAAAAGCTAGTTCGAGCTGCTGAGAATTATCTCCCGTGACACTGCACCAATCTATAGCTAGTTTTCAGTTGCTCATGTTCCTAAAACCATACAGACTGTTTTGAAGTGGAATATATAAAAATGTAAAACAAACAGTTTCAGTGTCCAAGATGCAAAATAATGCTAAGAAAATGAAGCTTACAGATAATTCCAGAAATAATGACAAATAGGAAAAAAAAAAAAAAAAAGCCTGGAAAGGTATTTTCACTTTCTTCAGGAATTACTGGATAGATGAAGTGGTTTCATGGTTTCATAAGTAAGAAATTAATCAACCTGATACAGTTCAAAATCCTAAAATGGGATTTCATAAAACCCCTGCAATAAACTGAACTAACAATGCAAAGGATTTCTCTGAAAACAAGGAATTTATTTGAAAAACACTCAACTATTAAGAAATTACTTTTCCCCTCTACATTAACCTATTTACATATACTGCATATATACATATACAGAGTTATAATTGGAATTGTGCATTACTATAATGAATATGTAGAACTATGTATTGTACAACAACTGGTTTAAGGTTTTGCATTTCTTGGATACAATACAGTTTTGTTTTCCCCAAAATTATCAAAAAAATAAGCATGTGTAATACACATTATCTCAATGCATTGCTAGTAATTTCCTGTAGACACTGTTATTCACATTAGTAGAGCATGTGGCCCTTCTACTAGTGGTAGACATTGACTGGCCACTGCTGTTGTTACTGTTAGGATCAGAAGTCTTTTTACAACTGAAGAGACTGCAAAGTTGTCTTTGATACTGAGAAGAAGCATAGTAGTAAATAAAGGGGTCAATGCAACAGCTAACGCTGCTGATACAAACACAGAGAAGATAGACAAAGTAGAGATACTCTAAGCTGTTGTCATAAGAAAAATGGATATAATGAATTAATAGGAGGACATTTGTTGGTCCAAAGCAAATAACAAAAACAGAAAAAACAGCCACACACAAGAGCAAGGCACGCGTCTTCCTATTTTGTTTTTCAACAATGGTAGAAGAACTTAGACATCGAATGATACACACGTAACAGACAGTAGAAATTATAAATGGAACTACAAAAAACACAGAAGAGAATATGGAGAAGAAACGGAGATAAAAGCCGCGAAGTTCAGATTCTCTTAGCACATCATGACAAGTTGTTATATTTAACTTGGCTATTTCCAGCGTTTGTTCTCTGATGAGAAAAGGTATAACCGCAGTTATTGCTACAAGCCATATGATGAAACAAATCAGTGAGGCACGTGTTAACGTACGCCACCCAAGAGACTGCATGGGATACACCACTGCCAAGAAGCGATCAAAGCTTATGCTTGTCATAAGCATTATTGAACAATACATGTTACAGTAGAAGGCAGCAGTGATGAATCGGCACATATGAGGTCCAAAAACCCAGTTGTTTCCAGAAAAGTGATACACAATCTTAAAAGGAAGCACACTTACAAACAGGACATCTGCAAGGGCCAAGTTCAGCATGTACACTACAGCTGGCTTTTCAATTTTCATTTTTTTCAGAAACACGAGTATTGCTGTAATGTTCAGAGGGAGACTCAGCACAAGCACTAAGGTGTACATTGAAGGAACAAAACGCGTCAGCCATGGACTAGTGAGGTATCTTTCTGTCTGCGCTGACACTGTTCCGTGTTCATGTAGGAACGATCTGGTCTGATTGGTGGCTCCTGATCCAGCTTCCACGTCATGTTCAGTATCACCGTCAGTAGGTATAGGGTCATTCTCCGGACTTACAAAAGAGTATACAAAAGTTCTGACCCATGGTATGCTGCCATTATGTGGGAAGGCTGAAAAATAAGAAAATATTAAGATTAATAAGCAAATGCTTACATGCTATGGGGAAGTGAAAACATCTTTCAAAAAGGAAAGTGAAGATCATATTAGTAACACAAAATGACTCAAAGTGCAGACAGCCCACAGATGTTAGTCCAGCCCTTTTTATTTTAGCTCCCATTACAAGTTTGGGTGAGATGTCCTCCTATGTCTCCTATCTCTTAGCTTGGAAGCTTTTTATGATAGGAACTCTATCCGTGCTTAGGGACCCAATCTCATCTATGTCCTCTTTGGGCTACTTTAATACAAATACAACAGTAAATTTGCCACCCTTGAACTGTCTTTGCCAGACCCTTCATACAGTTTGTAAGAAATGAAGTGCTGGGATAAATACTAGTATTCATACACAAAATTCTCATTAGAAGTACTCATACTAAAAATAACAAAGTTAAAAGTGCAATTAAAACATCAAGTTACTGGAATATTCCCTTGTGCTCTGGAGACATCTTACTCAATGCGATGGACCCCGTCATGACAGATGGAAGAAGTCTGCATGCAATTTTCAAGGTGGACATGGATCAACCTTTGACTTGTATCAGACAGGTAGCCACAGATTGCACTGAAACACTTCCCCGGTTCTACCTGTCCTACCCCACCACGTGCATCATCGAGGACAGCACGTGTCCAGTGTGCCCAGTGTGCCCTCGGGGCACTTCTGAAACCTGCCACTAGTGTCTCCTCTACAGCAGTGTCTTCTGCAGCATGGCTGGGTGGCTGTGACTGAGAAGAAAAGTGTCAGGGCAGGGTATCTCTGCTTTTTGAATGTAGCTGTAACATGTTAGTAATTTAGCGTTACAAAGTGTTTAATGTGTGGTATGGGTTTATTTATGTAAAAAACCAAACCCAAACACAATGAGAAAAGCTACTTCAGACATTATTTCAGAAAAGTTGTTTGTATGGAGACTTATTTTGGAAGACTGTCATTTTCAGCTTCGTCTTAATCTAGTTATGGGCAGACAGAAGCGACAGAGTTAGTACTACTTAAGTAAACACTAATCCACTTAGCTGTGCAACTGATCCTTTGTTGAATCCTAGACAACTAAAATAAAAATGAAGGTGTGTTAGCTTAAATATATGAGCTGAAACTACATAGGCATGATTCACCTGTCTAAGATGCTACTCATTAGAAGCAATTATTTGTTCTACAGTAATTCAAACCATTTTTTTAATGCAGATGAGAACAAAAGCATCTGAAGGAAGCAGATGGCAAAGAGAGGAGTGGCTGCAGCTTTAAGCAGGCAGTTACCTCCCTTTGTGCACAGGCTGTGCGAGACGGGCCCTGCCCAGCTTGAATATTGGTGAAATTAAGACTTGAATGTGGGGGGGAGATCAGAGGAGTGGTAGGGAAATCTGGAGATTTTTTAAAGCTGCTGTGCTGTATGTATCATGCTGTGTCACAAGCAGCACTCTTGAGGGCAGAGGGGACAAAAGAGGGGAAGTGTTTGAGATAATGGTTTTCGTATGCAAAGTGACTAGATTGCAACCTCTGCAGGCCAGGAAAAAGATGCTGGATGAGAATTTCAGCCTGGGAGCTTTTTGCATAGACTAAAGTAGGTACAATTTAGTACTTTTACTGAAACACAAATGCACAGAAGTACGTGAGATTCAGTGTTTCCACAGAGGGCACTAAACCAATATTCTGCCGTCTAAAAGAGAACATCAACAAAAGGCAAAACTATAGATCCTTAATCTTTAACCTTACTCTAAAAGTTTAGTCCAAGCAGTTGGATGGAGTCAGCTCCTAGTTCAGTTCAGGTCCAGCACAAGTTGTATTTATCACCTCTAACTTCACCTTGTGGCTGACATCAAATAGTTCTGTTATTTCCGGTACTTAATGATCATTGCAACAGAAATCTGTCACAACTGACACCATCAGTATTAATCTCTTTTGGGAGGATTGTAATTATACTTGAATGAAAAAAACCCTAATTTCTCATGCACAGAGGCTTGTCTCCATGATAAAGGCATCGCTAAGAGTGATAAAAAATCTTAAACAGTACCTCTGGTATCTCTAGTACATACAAGTTTTATGAATTAAAGACTTTAAATGCTGTGAATATATAAGTTTTCCACTGTCATTTCTAAAGCAGAAAATTTCTGAAACAGAAGACAATGATGATCCTAGTCCCCGAAGGTCTACATGTCCTTCCGGTTTCTCCACCACTGAAGAATAGTGTGGAACACCAAACGAAGAGGTGACATGGTTTCACGTGAGGAACGCATGTTTTTTGGGGAACACAGATATAAATGGAATTGATGAGAGGGAGGGTAAACCTGTGTCTGGAGTCAGGAACTGTATGAATCATCACAAGATGACCTCTGCATGAAGTGGTAACTGAGATGCTTCCTGCAAGCACCTCTCTCATCCCAGTATCCCTGAACTTTGAAGGGCTTTGCGTGTGCTGCCTCACGCGAGCTAGCAGTGCTGCAGTGCCTCACTTTCGGAGGACCAGCGAGGAAACCTGTCAGAGTCACTGACCTTTAATGACTGAGGTTAAGTCACTTAATGTGGAAGCCCTTGGTGGTAACCTGACCCATTTGTCGTCAGTGACTCCTAATTTAGAACAGTATGAAAATATGCTAAAGGAAAAAAATGATTGGGCCAGTTATCTTTTATCAACTACTGACCTTTGTCTTAGCTATCACTTATAGTTACTTGAACATTGCGAATAATTTTAATTATATCCTGAATTCTTGGAGCTAACTTAGAATTTTCTTAGATGAAAGGATTTAGAGTCTGCATTACTTCATTATCAAACTTTCTAAAAGCAGAATCCTATTAAAATAATTCAGGACAAAAACATTTCATAAATAATTTTAGTTTAGTTAAAATTCTCTGGAATGGTATTTTAACTTGGTGTAAACTATGTGTTCTTTGTATAAGCAAAGACTTCTTAAGTTCAGGGCTGAATTCAACTTTGATGCTGTTAACAACACCTCCATGCTGCGTCCTGTGCTCAGTTCACATCTCCACCTTGAACTTAGATGACATGAGGCACTACTTGAAAGCCAGCTCTATGGAAAAATGCAATGAAACCTCAAACTTGCTATTTCTCTGCCACTCAATGATATACAGAATGGGAATTTAAACTTTCTTGATGAAAATCAATTTAATTTTTATTTAAAAGATTGATAGCCACATATCAGTTCTTTTCCTTTGCAAAGCTACCTGTATGTTTGTGTGACACAGTGTCTGTGTATTATTAGAAAAAACAATAGCGCACTTCGTGTTTTCTGAAACAGAAAGGGAGTTACTGCCCTGAGGTTCTGGACTCCTTTTGTGTCAGTGTTTATTTTAAAAAGCCGATGATCGGAGATTTATTCACAGAAGGGAACAGGACGAAATGATGTCATATTATTTCAAAAGATCTTAATGAACCTTGACAATAAACATAAAGGTCAGTAATAGGAAATGGGCATTACCTGTAAGCTGGGATAGTACAAGACAGCCAATACAGTAGCTCTACAGGAAATATTTTAAAACTACTCTTACATAGCTACAGCTATACCAGAATCTGTCAGCTGTTGCTTTCTAGCTGTTTTAAAGCTGTAGATATAATTTGCCTAAAACACTACAGCTTAAGTAATTTTTAGTAATACAAATAATCTGTTAGGAAAACAGAGGTAAAGCTTGTATAATGATCATAGATGTTCAGTCATCCTATTTTTGCTAGGCTGTCATTTGATCCTTTTGGAAGAGGTCAGACCTGGTGGATTACTATTTTTATGACTAATCGTATTCTCATTGCTGATATGACAGTTAACAGCTGTATCAAAGTACTCATAAAATATAAATAGGTATAAAAGAACAGGACTAAGAAACTAAGAACAAAGAAAGAGCAGGATAAAGCACTGAGATTTTATCTTCATGGTGTGCAGTGAGGACACTGAACACCATACATACAGTCTTTTCTCTGCTTCCAATAAGGACTCTGAAAGGCAAAAGTTATGTAGAATCAGTATGATACTCAAATTGCGTGAAATTTTCTTTTACTGCCTGTGGTCTTTGCACCGATTCTCCAACAAGGACACAGAGAAATGATGTAGAAGCCTCAGTAAGTTTGGGGTTGTTGATTTTGATAATCTATACTGTGCTGTTTTCCATCAAGTATTGCATATTGTAGGTCTCACGATCAGCATATGCATGTTTGGCTTACGTGACAGACACTGCTTTTTTTTTTTTTTTTTACACAGAGATATTTTATAATTTCCTTTTATGTCTACTTTCATATGCAAGGGGCTACTGTGCATACTGTTCTGTGAAAGGAGAAATAGAAAGCAAAAAAAGGTAACAGCTTCAACCAATCTTAAAAAGCACTTTTGAGCTCCAGAAGAAAATTTCAAAGTATTTCTGAAAACCCATAAATCTGGACATGATGTTACAAACTGGTAATGTTCATGTCCCAAGGGATATCTTTGTGAGGTGGAAAACTAAAGAACAGGCTCCTACTCAAGCCAATTAAGTATGTTCCCTGTGTGCTGCTGGACAACAATTAATACTGATTTCTGGGCTTTACTGATGACAGCTGCACCCATACTGCTGGCCTATAAGAAAAAATCTGCTTCTTTTATCTCCCCTTTGTATAATCCACAGTGATAAGCATCTAGAAGCTAAATTACTCAGTGGCCCATAAATTAGGTATTCACAGGCAGAATGCGTAGTGCCTGCCAGACACATTTAAAATAAGGGTACACAATCTTGTAGGACAGATTACAATTATTTGTTTTTGTAAAAATAAACACCATATTGTTTTTAAAAAAATTTTTAGCCCACATCTTTGTTTATACAGAATTCATTATTGTATTACACGAGTGATGTAGTAACAATTTGAACACAATTTCCTAAAGTACTGTTTTCTTGCAACCTAATGTCTGCTCCTTTTTGCTTTCCTTTCTCAAATCTATCTCACCACAGGCGCTGGCTTCAAGCAATGATAACATCTCTCTATCTGGCTATTAGTGTCCCAAGGCAGGAAGGTCCAGGCAGGTTCAGACCTCAGCCAGCCACCGCGGCAGCACCTTGGTCGGATAATCTGCAAGCACCTAGTGCCAATCCACTGCCAAGCTGTTGCTTTTTCACCTGCCACAGGACCAGTGCAGGTCAGTAATGTGGTAACTGTGGATACTGAAGGACCATGGGAAAAGCAGGGGAGAAGCTGCAGGTGCAAGGGCAGAGCAGACCTGGAGATACAGCACTGCGGAGGCAATGGGAATTAAGTACGTTGTGGTGGAAACAGGGAAGGTTATCTGGGACAGTGGGGAAATGACATTATTACAATGGGAGCAAGGACAAGGAGAGAACAGGACATGTTCAGATGGCCAGGGTTTATTAGTTCTACTGCGCATGAAGTAACTTGTTTGAATTTTTCTTTTCCAAGTGATGTAATACCGTAACTATTTCAATCATTATTTCCTCAGGAAGCAGCAAATAGTGTAATCCGGGGTGCTTGTTAATGAAGACTATAATTGCAAA